ACAGGGTGAAACCCGTCTCTACTAAAAATACAAAAAATTAGCCGGGCGTGGTGGCGGGCGCCTGTAGCCCCAGCTACTTAGGAGGCCGGAGATAGAGAATGGCGTGAATCTGGGAGGGCAGAGCTTGCAGTGAGCCGAGCGAGATGGCGCCACTGCACTCCAGTATGGGAGACACCAGCAGACTCCGTCTCAAAAAAAAAAAAAAAAAAAGAATCTAAGCATCTACATTAGGAAGCAAGAAAAATATGAGCAAATAAACCAAAGTAAACACACAACAGAAGAAATAGTAAAAAGAGAAATTAAACAAAACCAAAGGTGTTTATTTGAGAAAGATCAATATATTTGATAAATGTATGGTGCGCAGACTGAAAAACAAAGAGAAGAATAGAATTACTAATATCATAAATATAAGTGGGAAAAATAAAAAATGAAAAAGTTATGGGACCAAATCCAACCATGCATTTATGATAAAGAAACTGGAGATAGACCTTCCTCTTTTGAGAAGCAGTGTTTATAGGAAACCCTGCCTGCTAATACATATTTAATAGTGAGGAAACTAGATGCTTCCCTGGTAAGGATGAGGAAATGGGCAAAGATGTCCCTCTTACCACTCCTACTCAACAGACTATACTTCCGAAGTGTAACTAAATGGAGATGAGGAGGAGAAGGGGAGGGAAAGAGATACAGATAGGGGAAGGGAAGAAATATCACTGGTCTTTTGGTGGCATGTGACATGATTGCCTCTAAGTATAAAAGAATCTCCGCGCGGCAACGGTGGCTCCGCCTGTAATCCCAGCACTTGGGGGCCGAGGCGGGCAGATTCACGAGGTCGGGAGATCAGAGACCATCCTGGCTAATTTACAGTTGACAACCCCCTCTTTACATAACCAAATACAAAAAAATTAAGCCGGCGGTGGTGGCAGGGACGCCTGTGTCCCAGCTAACTCGGGAGGACTGAGGCCGGAGAATGGCCGTGACACCTCCGGAGCGGAGCTTGCAGTGAGCCAGATCAAGCCTAGCCAGGATGGTCTCGATCTCCTGACCTCGTGATCCACCTGCCTCGGCCTCCCAAAGTGCTGGGATTACAGGTGTGAGCCACCACACCCGGCTAGATTCTTTTTTTATAGGCAGAATCTCACTCTGTTGCCCAGGCTGGAGTACAGTGCTGCGATCTCAGCTCACTGCAACCTCCGCATCCTGGGTTCAAGCGATTCTTCTGCTTCAGCCTCCCAAGTAGCTGGGATTACAGGTGTGAGCCACCACGCCCGGCTAGATTCTTTTTTTATAGGCAGAATCTCACTCTGTTGCCCAGGCTGGAGTACAGTGCTGCGATCTCGGCTCACTGCAACCTCCGCATCCTGGGTTCAAGCGATTCTTCTGCTTCAGCCTCCCAAGTAGCTGGGATTACAGGTGTGAGCCACCGCGTCCAGCCCTGTTCATTTATTTTTACTTTGCATACTAGTTCATTTATATTGCACGTATGTCAGATATTTTTCTGCTGCTTTGTGGTTTGTCTTTTAACTTTCTTGATTTTAGGATATCTGAAGTTTTCAGTCTCATCCTTTATGGCTTACTCTTACATGAGAAAATTCTCCCTACTCTTGCATTTAAAGAAAATTGCCTGTGACTTTTGAAAGAGTTTTAGTTCTATTCTTCACGTTTAAATCTACATTAAATTGATTATTGTCTATGGAATAGAGCTAATGCAATGCTTTTTCCAATTAGATAACAGTTTGTCTCTTCTACATGTATTAAAGTGTTAGTGATCTCTTCCATTCCCCTACAATGCTTGCTCTATCATTAATCAATTTTCCTTATAAATGCCAGTCCATTGAAGACACTTTCCCCCTCCCTTGTTTTATTTATCTCTCTGCGTGTTATGCTGTTAGGAGGGTTATAGTTTGAAAATCCTTGATACATACTAGGCAAGTATTTATGTTGCTCTTCAAAAGACTTTACCCATTGTTTGACATTTATTGTTCCTCTTAGGTTTGGAAAAGTAGTTTTTCTTGACTCCTAATAAGTCTGTTTTAGGGATTTGTAGAATTTTATAAAGATATCATTTGGGAGCAGTGGCATCTTGTTGACACTGAGTTTGTTCTAAGAACATGTACCAACTTTCACCTTAATTTAATTCTGCTTTGACTTTAGCCAATAACATTTTTTAAAATTAGGATTGTTAAATATCCTTCATTAGCCTTATTTAGTCATAGTTGGCATGGAGGAAAGCAGATGCAAGCCTTTAAATGTTCTTTCCTCATGTAATCACATGGAATGGGCTCAATTCCCCAAGCAACAAGTTGTGATATTATATATTGTCTGCTAGGGAAGCTCATTAGAGACCCAGTGCTCACAGTGCTTTTGGGGGGCTGATCAAGTAGGCATCCTCCTGGCATGTGAAAAAGTCCAGACTCTAAAAAGGAAAAAAGGAGTTCAGTATATACTCTATTGATTCCATAAACCATTTAGGCACACTAAGCCACTCTTTTTTTTTTTTTTTTTTTTGAGACATAGTCTCACTCTGTCACCTAGGCTGGAGTGCAGTGGCATGATCTTGGCTCACTGCAAGCTTCACCTCCCGGGTTCACACCATTCTGCCTCAGCCTCCTGAATAGCTGGGACTACAGGCACCTGCCACCACGCCCAGCTGTTTTTTTGTATTTTTGTTAGAGACAGGGTTTGACTGTGTTAGCCAGGATGGTCTCAATCTCCTGACCTCGTCTGTAATGCCAGCACTTTGGGAGGCCGAGGTGGGCGGATCACGAGGTCAGGAGATCGAGACCATCCTGGCTAACATGGTGAAACCCCGTCTCTACTAAATATACAAAAAATTAGCCGGGCATAGTGGCGGGGGCCTGTAGTCCCCAGCTACTCGGGAGGTTGAGGCAGGAGAATGGCGTGAACCTGGGAGGTGGAGGTTGCAGTGGGCCAAGATGGCGCCACTGCACTCCAGCCTGGGCGACAGAGCAAGACTCCATCTCATACACACACAAAAAAATCTCGTACAGATTTGACCCTGTGTTTCATGGGATGCTAAGTGATATAGTACATGATAAGGCAGGAGATAAAAAGTATTTTTCTTACAAGGAATTGTTCGTCTTAAACTGGAAATATTTGTTTCATTTCTATAGCATTTCTCCAAGATGCTGTGTATCCTGTCATTGGAGAGCATAAGACTTGAAGTGATCATAGTAAAAATGCAAAAATAATTTCCAAATATTCATGGTGGTGTTAAATTTATGAAGAAGTAAGTATAGACAGAGATTTGAGTTCTGATGTCAAAGTTATAGGATAAATGGAGAAAAAGGAATTATATATGGACTTTTAATGAACTGAGTATATATCCTCAGTGCTGTCAGTCTCACCTGTCCTCCTCTATACATGTGGGATGTTTCAGGACTCAGTGGTCTTTGAGGATGTGGCTGTGAACTTCACCCAGGAGGAGTGGGCTTTGCTGGGTCCCTCTCAGAAGAAACTCTACAGAGATGTGATGCAAGAAACCTTTGTTAACTTGGCCTCTATAGGTAAGACTGAAATTATTCCCTCACTTAGTCAATTAGAGAACAAGTGTTTCTTGTTCATCAACAAGGTTCCAAGGTTTAGGATGTTGAAAGGGAATACTTTGGTAAATAAATCAGACAGGATAACAGCTCATCCTAGATTTAGAATCTAATAATTTTTCTATAATTTCAAATAGTTTTAATGATTTTTCTGGGCCTGCATTTTAGGGGAAAACTGGGAGGAGAAGAACACTGAAGACCACAAAAATCAGGGGAGAAAGCTAAGGTGAGTTGTACTTACAAAAGAAAATACTGTCTTATGAGAGAATCTTAGCATGTCATTAAGTTTAAAAAATGAATAATTGGAAGAAGCCCTATTTCATATTTATTTGTTGAAAATTGTTGCCAAGAAAGTTTTCTTAAAAATGGTACAGATGGCTGGGCGCTGTGGCTCACGCCTGTAATCCCAGCACTTTGGGAGGCCGAGGTGGGCGGATCACAAGGTCAGGAGATCGAGACCAAGGTGAAACCCCATCTCTACTAAAAATACAAAAAATTAGCCGGGCGCGGTGGCAGGCACCTGTAGTCCCAGCTACTCAGGAGGCTGAGGCAGGAGAATGGTGTGAACCCGGGAGGCGGAGCTTGCAGTGAGCCGAGATCACGCCACTGTACTCCAGCCTGGGGGATAGAGCAAGACTCTGTCTCAAAAAAAAAAAAAAAAAAAGGTACAGTTGTTCAGTATTTGAAAAATATTTCACCTGGAAACAATATTAAGAAACTCTATATTATGAATTTGGGCCAGGCATGGTGGCTCATAATCCCAGCACTTTGAGAGGCTGAGGTGGGCAGATCACCTGAGGTGTGGAGTTCGAGGCCAGCCTGGCCAACATGGCAAAACCCTGCCTCTACTGAAAATCCAAAAATTAGCCAGGTGTGGTGGTGGGTTCCTGTAATCCCAGCTACTCGTGAGGCTGAGGCAGAAGAATTGCTTGAACCCAGGAAATGGAGGTTGCGGTGAGCCAAGATTGTGCCACTGCACTGCAGCCTTGGCAGCAGAGCAAGATTCTTCTCAAAAAAAAAAAAAAAAAAAAAAAGAAACTCTATATTATGAGTTTTATTGTTTTGATAATGGCTTTGGTCAAGTACTCTTCCTGAGCATTCATAACATACACTTCCCCTGAAAATGGCAAAAGTGTAATTCTACTACTTACTAATGATTGTGAAATAATAATTATAAAATTATTAATTTTAAAAAGCCACTAATTGTGTGCTTTTTTTTTTTTTTTCTCACAGAAGTCATATGGTAGAGAGGCTCTGTGAAAGGAAAGAAGGTAGTCAGTTTGGAGAAACCATCAGTCAGACTCCAAATCCTAAACCAAACAAGAAAACTTTTACTAGGGTAAAACCATATGAATGTAGTGTGTGTGGAAAGGACTATATGTGTCATTCATCTCTTAATAGGCACATGAGATCTCATACTGAACATAGATCATATGAGTATCACAAATATGGAGAGAAGTCATATGAATGTAAGGAATGTGGGAAAAGATTCAGCTTTCGAAGTTCATTTCGAATCCATGAAAGAACTCACACTGGAGAGAAACCCTACAAATGTAAGCAGTGTGGTAAGGCTTTCAGTTGGCCCAGTTCCTTTCAAATACATGAAAGAACTCATACTGGAGAGAAACCTTATGAATGTAAGGAATGTGGGAAGGCCTTCATTTATCACACAACCTTTCGAGGACACATGAGAATGCACACAGGAGAGAAACCCTATAAATGTAAAGAATGTGGGAAAACATTCAGTCATCCCAGCTCTTTTCGAAATCATGAAAGAACTCACTCTGGAGAGAAACCCTATGAATGTAAACAATGTGGAAAAGCCTTCAGATATTACCAAACTTTTCAAATACATGAAAGGACTCACACTGGGGAAAAACCCTATCAGTGTAAGCAATGTGGTAAAGCTCTTAGTTGTCCCACATCCTTTCGAAGTCATGAAAGGATTCACACTGGAGAAAAACCCTATAAATGTAAAAAATGTGGCAAAGCCTTCAGCTTTCCTAGTTCCTTTAGAAAACATGAAAGGATTCATACAGGAGAGAAACCCTATGATTGTAAGGAATGTGGGAAAGCATTCATTTCTCTTCCAAGCTATCGAAGACATATGATAATGCACACTGGAAATGGACCTTATAAATGCAAGGAATGTGGGAAAGCCTTTGATTGTCCTAGTTCTTTTCAAATCCATGAACGAACTCACACTGGAGAGAAACCCTTTGAATGTAAACAGTGTGGTAAAGCCTTCAGTTGTTCCAGTTCGTTTCGAATGCATGAAAGAACTCACACTGGAGAGAAACCCCATGAATGTAAACAGTGTGGTAAAGCCTTCAGTTGTTCCAGTTCTGTTCGAATACATGAAAGGACTCACACTGGAGAGAAACCCTATGAATGTAAACAGTGTGGAAAAGCCTTCAGTTGTTCCAGTTCCTTTCGAATGCATGAAAGAATTCACACTGGAGAGAAACCCTATGAATGTAAACAGTGTGGTAAAGCCTTTAGTTTTTCTAGTTCCTTTCGGATGCATGAAAGGACTCACACTGGAGAGAAACCCTATGAATGTAAACAGTGTGGTAAAGCCTTCAGTTGTTCCAGTTCCTTTCGAATGCATGAAAGGACTCACACTGGAGAGAAACCTTATGAGTGTAAACAGTGTGGTAAGGCGTTTAGTTGTTCCAGTTCCATTCGAATACATGAAAGGACTCACACTGGAGAGAAACCTTATGAGTGTAAACAATGTGGTAAGGCCTTCAGTTGTTCTAGTTCTGTTCGAATGCATGAAAGGACTCACACTGGAGAGAAACCCTATGAATGTAAACAATGTGATAAAGCCTTCAGTTGCTCACGTTCCTTTCGAATCCATGAACGAACTCACACTGGAGAGAAACCCTATGCGTGTCAACAATGTGGTAAAGCCTTCAAGTGTTCCCGTTCCTTTCGAATACATGAAAGAGTTCATAGCGGAGAGTAACCCTATGTATGTAAGCAATATGGCAAAGTTTTCAGTTGTCCTATTCCATTTTTTTTTCCTTTTTTTTTGAGATGAAGTCTCACTCTGTCACCCCGGCTGGAGTACAGTAGTGCGATTACAGCTCACTGCAACCTCTGTCTCCTGGGTTCAAGTGATTCTCCTGCCTCAGCTTCCTGGGTAGCTGGAACTACAGGTGTGAACCACCATGCCCACCTACTTTTTGTGTTTTTAGTAGAGATGGGGTTTCACCACGTTGGCCAGGCTGGTCTCGAACTCCTGACCTCAGACGATCTGCCTGCCTTGGCCTCCCAAAGTGTTGGATTACAGGTGTGAGCCACTGCATCCGGCCCCCATTTCCTTTTGAAGACATGAAATTATTCATATTTCAGAGAAACCCTATGACTATAAGACATGGGGATACCTTCAATGCTTTACATGCCCTGGACAGGAAACCCTGCGAATGTAGGCAATGTGGGAAAACCTTCAATGGTCATGTGACCTTTTAAAGACCATGAGAAGGCATATGAAGTGTAAAGAATTTTCATATGCCCTATAAATATAAAGAATTAATAACCTTAAAAATGTAAAGAATGTGGAAAACTCTATAATTGTAAAGAATGTGGAAAAACCTTTATTTGTCTCAGTTTACTTGGAAGCCATGAACAAACTCACACTGGAAAGCGACTTCTTGAATATAGACATTGTGAGAAAGCCTTCAGTTGGCCTATATACTTATATGTGAGAATGCAGACTGGATAGAAATCCTATAAAAGTGAGAAATAACAATGTTTTCAATTTTAACAAATGCTCATGTGATACTCCCTTATGTGTGAAATTTCAATCTCGTTGAAACTCCCACTAGGGAGGTGTTGTATAAATGTAGATAATATGGGAAAGCCTGATGCAAATTAATTCATGTATATTGTTCTAGAAAATTCACAACATGACAGAAGTGTTATAAAATATAGTGTCAGTTACTGATTCTTAAAGTGGATCTCTGAATTATGGATTTCTATTTCACAAAAGAACATTGAGATGAGATAATTCTGTAAGCTCTTATACAGTTGTACACAAGTTGAATTGATAGTATTTTTTCATTAAATCAGTTTCTGAAATTTTGTCTTTCCATATTGAAGTCTGTTAGATTCATGAGTGAATTGAAGTGTATTTATAATAAGCTAGTAGTTTTGATTTTTATGTATTTTTTAGTTGTGCTGTAACGGGCCATCAAAAAATCACAATTTGGTAATCTTTAGGATTTCCTACTGGCCTTATGTGGCAGGTACTAGATATCATTATATGTATTTCATCTTTCTTTCTGACCAAAAGAAGCTTTTTTAGAGGAAGACAGAATGCCCTTTTTTCTATTTTTTTATGCTAAAAAATAATCATAATAAATTTTTGAGTCTGCAAAGTTTATCATGCAGTATACTCTCTCATTGGAATTATTATTTTCATTTTCTGTTCTTTGCTATTTGTAATTCTTTCTGGCTGTGATTTGGATAATAGGCTTTGCATTAATAAGAGAGACCTGAGATAGAACCATATAACCTATAGCTGGAAATGGCTGTCCTGGATTGTGTTAACATGGGTGATGTTGTGACTTATGTTTTCTGTAATCTATCCTTTTATGGCTCCATGGTATAATTGACCAATAGCCTACTTGCAGGAGATATGGAAGGCAGAAGTAAAGAAAGCATTAGTCAGGTTTTATAGCCACCATATGTGGAGACAGATGGATGCATAGGGGCTTCAGGGACACCTGCTTCCACCACATTGTCCTGATCCTTTGCTCTGCCAGCTGAGAGTATTCTTAGAACCACCCCTAACTGCTTGACTGCCATATTTGCCTGCCTCCCTCCCTCCCTCCCTCCCTTCCTTCCTTCTTTCTTTCCCTTTCTTTTCTTTCTTTTTCTGAGATGGAGTCTTGCTCTGTTGCCCAGGCTGAAGTGCAGTGGCATGATCTTGGCTCACTGCAACCTCTGCCTCCTGGGTTCAAGCAATTGTCCTGCCCTAGCCTCCCAAGTAGCTGGGATTGCAGGTGCCTGCCACCAAACCCAGCTAAATTTTTTTGTATTTTTAGTAGAGACAGGGTTTCATCATGTTGGCCAGGCTGGTCTCAAACTCCTGACTTCATGATCGGCCCACCTTGGCCTCCCAAAGTGCTAAGATTACAGGTGTGAACCACTGTGCATGGCCCCAGCTGCCATATTTTCAGAGATGTAGTTTTCCACAGATTGTCTTCGAAAGTTCTACTCAAAGATGCACTGCAGTTTGGATTTTCCTAGAAACTCTAATGTGTCCACCTTTAGACTCTTAAGGATGGCAATATTCTCTGATGCTCTGACTTACCTCATCTCTAGGTTGAATTTATCAAAGGTATTATTTATGTAATAAACACTATGTTTTGTTAACAGTACAAGTGACTATGTGTTTCTGATTCCACCATGACAACTACAGTGATGCAGTCAAAAAGAACTACATGGGTGTTTGTCCCTCCACTGCATTGTGCATTGAATGCACTTACCCAGTCCTGCAGTGTAAGAATAAGCACCTTCCGAATATCAAGCAGATTGTCGGTGTTTCCTATTACAGTTGAATGTAATCTCTCAGTACATTTTCAATTTTGTTTCATTATATGTGATTAAAAACTATGTGTATGTTTTTGTTGAACAAAACTTCTGTAGATGTTTCTTAGAAATATTTTATTAACTGTTTTCAAATAACTTGTATGCTATCACTTGTTGTCTCTTGAATTTTCTGCAAGGATATATTAAAATATTCCATTGCAATTATAGATTTTCAGATTAAGTTTTTAAGTTTATTGAGTTAATCCTCATATATTCTGAGTCAATATTGTGTGCATACAAGATGAAGTATTGTCCTTAGGAATTCTTTATTTTTTATTCTTAAAATAGTTATGATTTTTTCCCAGAAAATCAATTTATCATGCATTCATAATACCAAAAACTTATATCATGGTTGTTTCTGTGCCTTTTTTTCAAAGATCACCAGGATCACACCTGTAGTCAAGAGAGGAGTGTTAAGAACTGTAGTAATAAGAATGATAACAAACCATAAATGACTCTGGGGAGTATCAGTAAGAGGGTGCTTGGCCGGGCACGGTGGCTTATGCCTGTAATCCAGCACTTTGGGAGGCCGAAGTGGGCAGATCACAAGGTCAGGAGTTCGAGACCAGCCTGGCCAACATGGTGAAACCCCGTTTCTACTAAAAAATATATAAAAATTGGCCGGGCATGGTGGTGTGCGCCTGTAATCCCAGCTACTCGAGAAGCTGAGGCAGGAGAATTGCTTGAACCCCAGGAGGTGGAGGTTGCAGTGAGTCAAGATCACACCACTGCGCTCCAGCCTGGGCCACAGAGCAAGACTCCATCTCAAAAAATAAAAATAAAAAAATAAAAAAGAGGGTGCTCAAAAAGACTTCTTTTTGGATTTGGATTTTTGTTAGGTGACTTGGTTGCTAATCACCAAACTGAGGCACTCCTGTGTGTGTCACATGCTGTGAGGTGAACTTAATTGTGTCACTGGTAATCATAATTCTTATCTAGAGGCAGGAAGAATGAAGTGGAGCTAAACCTAATTCGTAAGAAACCACTCACTTGGATTAGTGAGTAGAGGGCAGTTTTGGTCATTTTAATGGCTTCAACTCTGTTCTCTTTTACCATTTTTAGAGACATGGTTATTGTTTTTGTCTTGATCCATCATGGTTGCTGAGTAGCTTTGTCTGATGAAGGAAGTGTGACATTTTTCTCTTCAACAGGATGAGACTTGGCCTAACCTGAGTGTGAGGTCAGATCCTAGTCCTGTGGAACTGTTCTTAACCTTTTTTATTATCTAAACATGGAAATATTTCTTATGGTGTACTGGACAATGTTTTCCACAAAATATCTCAGTTAAAATATGTAAGTTCACTTAGTCTTTAGCAAACTATATAATACTTTTTTTCTCCTTTGTGCACTAGCAGAGTCCAATAAGTGTAGATAAGTTTTCAGAGACCACAAACCTAGCAAGATGGAAAGACAGAATCACTGTTCAAATCAAGCCATGTTGCTCTTGATGCTCATTTTTTAACCTTTCTCATAGGCCTGGCACTGTAGTATCAAAGCATACACAGTTCAGCACAAATGATCAAGACATTCCATGCTATGGATATAGAAACATGAAACAAGTTCTTGCCTTCCTGATGCTTGCAGATTTGGGGAAAGAGAGATGGTTAATAAAAGGTAAGGGTTTGGTTTTTAGAAAGCAATTAAGATCTTTGAAGGAAATGAAATAACAACCAACCTGTGAGATTAATAGGGAAGCTATGGTTGTGTTGGATACCTTAGCTTTGGAGGGTAGGGACCACCATGAGTAAGAATGTTGTTATTGATCATTTATTTTCATTATCTAACATATCTTTTTTTTTTTTTTTTTTGAGACAGAGTCTCACTCTGTCACCAGGCTGGAGTGCAGTGGCACGATCTCAGCTCACCGCAACCCCCGCCTCCCAGGTTCAAATGATTTCCTGCCTCAGCCTCCTGAGTAGCTGGGGCTACAGGTGTGTGCCACCGCACCCAGCTAATTTTTGTATTTTTAGTAGAGATGGGGTTTCACCATGTTGGCCAGGATGGTCTCAATCTCTTGACCTCGTGAGGTGCACCTCGTGAAGGCGCACCTCAGCCTTCCAGAGTGCTGGGATTACAGGCGTGAGCCACAGCACCCAGCGTATCTAACATATCATATTAAAACACTGAGGAACTGCTTAGGTTTGATGTATACTGGTGAACAATACAGTCCTACATCCCTGGGATGAACAGTAATGATTCCCCATAAACAAAGGTGTAGATATGGTTCATCTTTATTTTTATAATGGATAAAAGTTTTGAGACATGTAAAGTGTGATCATGAGTTTGGATGTGAGTATTTAGGATTTGAGATGTCCTATTGATTTGGGCCACAGGTATTGGTGATGTTGACATTTCCGTTTAATGTCATTTGAAAGATTCTTAAGTTGCCTTGGATATGCGGCATGATCATTTTGCTGTTGGGCAGACAGAATCACCCAATATGTACCACCCAAAAGATCTATGGATGTTTAGAGGGTAATTTTCAAGAAATAATGGAGGTGAGCTGCAGACAGGGAATCATTTTGCTTAATAGCCTAATTTAGTGGAAAGGAAGAATATCTGGTGTCATCGTATAAGGAAAAATTTAATGCCTTCTTAGGAGTAGTTTGAAAATCCAGAAAGCCCCCAAATCCCAATTTGGTATTCACATGTTTGGGAAGAGCGGGGGGAAAGTCAAATATTTGTGTCTTACTAAATTTGAGCAAAGGAAATAAAATCTTTGTCCATTTTTTTCGGTGATAACTTACGTTAGTACTTGGCACTGTGATTTCATAATTATGAGTATCTCATTTGATTGCCCAACCAATCAGTTCTCCCATGTTACAAATGAAGAAAGTTAAGTACAGAGCACAGGATTCTACCCAAACTCACATAACTGAGAATCATGGAATCTCTGGATTTTGAAGTCCTAAGGTGTGCTGCCACCTGTACTGGGCACTGCCCCCCAAAAAAAAAATTACTTGAGGCCAAGAGTTTGAGATCAGCCTGGGCAATATAGCAAGACCTTGTCTCTACAAAAAAAATTAAAAATTAACTGAGTGTTGTGGTGCATGCCTGTAGCCCTAGCTACTCAGAAGGCTGAGGTGGGAGGATCAGTTGAGCCCAGGAGTTCAAGGCTGCAGTGAGCTATGATTACACCACTGCACTTTAGCCTAGGTGACAGAGCAAAACCCTGTCTTAAAAGAAAAAAAAAAAAAAGATCATATTCTGTGCCTTTTGGGATGATCCTATGATAATAGATCCCTTATTCTGTAAATATGGCATATTAATATATATTTATATGTGAGACCACCATTGCTTTTCTGAGCTCAATCCAACTTGGTCATGTTGTATAGGTCTTTTTTTATATTGCTGGATTCAATTTGCTGGTATTTTTTTGGGCCTCTGCAGCTATATTCAAAAGAGGTATTTGTGGACTATTTTCTACTATATAGTATAGGATTATCTAGTATAGCCTATAGTGTGTTTACATGTACATTTATAGATATATTTGTGTGTATAATATGTAATATATTGCATAATGATATATAATTGTATATATTATACATAACGTATATGTTATGTATAACTGAAATATGTAATTACTATTATGCTATACTGCATAATACAGTTTTATACTATTATAGCATAGTTACAGAGTCTGTGTCTCTTGTATAAGGGTTTTCAGATCCTTGCTAACCCACACATTATTCAAAGAAGTGAATCACATCCTCCCAGGGGAACCAAGGGTTAATTCACCCTTTTGATACTACAAAGCCTGTTTCCCACAGCCATGTTTGGGCCCTCTGCTCCCAAATGTATTTTCTTTGTGGATCTGCATGACTTATGGTACCCTCCTCATCTGGGCTGTGAATATGTATGACTAATAAACTGTTGTTAGTTGCATTTGTCCAGTGATGGATATCATGTGTTAGGCTACCTAGGTAGCCCTAGGGCCCTAATTCCTCTCTCACTAATGGGGTGAGTGGGAGGCTATTGAAACATGCACATCCATGATACCCCATGGTCAGGCACTGATGAGGAAAGAAAAGAAGGTACATTTGGTATCAGTCCTTTCCAAAGCATGAGAGGATGTAACTCAACTGTTCTCCCAAAGCAAAACAAGTAGCCAAGGGGCCTACGTTGTTTTCTGTAGTACTGCAGCTTACCAGCATGTCAAAGGGATTATCTTGAGATCATAAGGCTGCTGGTCCCCACCAGGGTCTTAGACAAAATTACCTTATTGGATGTAGGTGCTAATCTCAGAAAGACTGAGTGGCAATCCCTGGAGTCAGAGGTGGTCCCATCCAATGTAGGTTGCTGGTGTTCTGAACTTTTCCCTATAATCGCACAGATGGTCCATAACACAGGTGATCAGTCAGAACCAACCAACCTGACACTCGCAACTTTTTATGAATTCTGAGGGATTTTTTACAGAAAGAAAAGGGAAAAGCAATGATTAGGTGGCATGCTCAGGTCCATAAACCTAACAGCAGATAGAAGCAAATTTCTCCCATTTGGTAAAGAACCTCTAAAAAGAAGCTGAAGCTAACATCATACTTAATTTTGATATCTAGATGCTTTCCCACTAAGATCAGGAACAAGGTAAGGATGCCTCCTCTCACCACTGCTATTCATCATCATCCTAGATGTCCTCACTAATGGAATAAAACAAGAAATTTTTTCTTCAATTAATTGAAGTTCCTCTAATGCCTCTTTGGACAGGGAGCATTTACTGTTTAAGTTAGAATCACCTTGTAAGGTAGAAAAGAGGTGAGACATAGCATAAGTAGGAATGCCTAAAGTGGGACAAATTCAATTAATGTTTTCTAATAATTTTTGAAACTTAGTATTTTTTTTTTTTTTTTTTTTTGAGACAGAGTCTCGCTTAGTCGCCCAGGCTGAAGTGCAGTGGCGCAATCTCGGCTCACTGCAAGCTCCGCCTCCTGGGTTCACGCCATTCTCCTGCCTCAGCCTCCCGAGTTGCTGGGACTACAGGCGCCCGCCACTTCGCCTGGCTAATTTTTTGCATTTTTAGTAGAGACGGGGTTTCACCGTGTTAGCCAGGATGGTCTCGATCTCCTGACCTCGTGATCCGCCCGCCTCGGCCTCCCAAAGTGCTGGGATTACAGGCGTGAGCCACCGCGCCCGGCCGAAACTTAGTCTTTAAATTATCTCTTCTAATTTG